CCGAATCTCCTACAGGACACTTTGAAGCCTCGGTCAGCAGGTCCGATCTTCACTGTGGTGCCGCCAGATGTCACAGTCCGCGGACTTTTTTTGTGTTCTGTCCAAGTTTATATGTTTTGAATATTGCGGCTATTAGCATCGGTTTAGTGGTGTAGTTGGTTATCACGCATCCTTCACACGGATGAGGTCCTGGGTTCGAATCCCTGCTGAATCAGATTTTTGGCATCTCACCTTGCGGGTGCTCTTTTTTTTCTCGCTTTCGTTGTTTTTTTTTTTGTTTCTGGTTTGATTCAGCTCTGTATTCGCCCTTCAAGCAGTTGCTGCCCTGCAACAAATGCCGGAATTTTTTTGGGCTTTCTGTTGCTTGAATTCAAAGTGAACCCTATTTTGACCGAGCAGCTTTTGAAAGCACCAGCCAGATTCTTGCCAAGATTGCAGATTCCTGGATTAGATGTGTGCAAAAGAGGAGAATGAGCCTCAATTGGTCAGTTTACCCCCATCACAGCAATTACAAGCCTCAAAGTTTGTCTGAAAATAGAACGTTTTGATTGAAATCTTTGTGCCAAGTTTGTTTTGCAACAGTATTCTTGTTCATTGAGTTTGACACTGGAAATGGGTGATTAGAGTCTTGGTTTGTGTGAAAGACATTTGACATATTGGTTTCTTTATATATGTGTCTGATTATTCTTTTGTAAGTTTGTTTTATTCTCTATGACTTTGGTTTTTGAGGTTTGTGTTTTGTTTGACAGAGAATGTAAGACTGGGTGAACTTTGAAGTGAGATGATGCAAGGTACAGTACTAATTTCAGAAGTCATGTTTGTGTTCTGATTTGTTTCTGTTTCTTTGAAAAGACAACATGAGATTTTGGAGTAATTCCTCTAACAAGGTAACGGGAATTTGGTTCTGTAGGATGTTGTTTGGATTTCTGTAAGTGATTCATCACATCAAAGCAAACAACCCCGCCTCCTGGTGCAACAATCTTCCATGTCACTGAAATGAAGCCATCTGACAGGGTATTCTGTCGCAGTTGTCAACTTGGGAATAATCTGCTCTTGGGTCACACCAGTCTGTATTCCAGGCATCAATAGGTAACATTGACATGTCAAGACAGTCTTCAAGTATATCAGCACTGCTGAGCTTGGTCTCAAGCCTTGCATTCCAATCTGGCATTCAGAAGACTTCTTGCAAATCTCTGAGGTGGCAGATCTCAATTCTCTGTTTTGTGGCTCTGATTCTGGAGTGAACAAAGACTGGACTTGTTCAACAACAACACAGACATGGGAAAAATTGGACAATCATTATCCATGACTCCCAATTTGTTTTGACATGTTTGGTCACTGGTGAACAAATGTCACAGTGTGAATTGCAACATGTCAAAGTCTGCTCACCAAATGTACTCTACCTTGCTGCCTCTGATGCTTAATCAGCTTCAACATGACATCCTCATTATGGACCTCAGCTTTGGATTTGGCCTCAAACTTTGACACCTTAACTTCATATTAGCAGTAAAATCAGTAGCATTTGAGCTGTGTAACAAGGAGGTATGACAAGGGTCATTCTTGGTGTTTCTTCTTTCCTTTTCTCAATTGGATCAATTGCATTTGTTGGTTGTTTGCTTACCTTCACCTGTATAAGGCTCAAGTACTCAGTACAACTTGCTCAATATCAGAACACTTGAATTTCAACTTTGCAAATGTCTGACTCAGCAGATCAATTAGCACATACCTCTGATGCTCATGGAGTATGGCTCAGAGACCCTCACCTCAAACTTCTGCTCTGGTGAAGATTGATCATGCACTCTTCTCTGTCAGGTATAACTCTTACTCTCATTCATCAAAGATTGTCTTTCCCCTCTGTCAAATAAATTGGCTTTCTTCCCATGCTACTAACAATACTGTGGATCATCAGACTGATGAAACAATCTGATGTCATAAATACCTACTACACTCTTGTTCCTTATCTTGGCTTGAATAGTACTGAGCAGTCCAGCCTTCAAACTGGATTTTGTGCTTTTTAGCCAGTTAGCAAAGCAGTGGAAGCTCAGAAAATCACATTTGTTACATCTGAGCAACACCAGCTGCCAGTGTCAAACCGTCTACAACGCCTGTTGTATGTCACTTTGCTACATGCACCTGGTTGGGTTCTATCATTGGTGTGGATGATTGCTGCCAGTGTGGTAGGGTAAAATGGCTCCTTGGGAAAAATTGGTCTCCAGTTGAGATTTGTGACAAAAGTGGGTTGTAGATGTTCATCAAGCAGGCAATGGATCAAACAAAGAGCTGCAACTGGAACGTGTGAACAAAAGCACTGGCCTTGGCGGAGTTTCAAAGTCAGTTTTGCGGAGTTTTGAGAACAAAGGGAGGAGGCAAAATTGGGTTTTCAGGAGAGCACAGGCACATGGAGCATTTGGCAGAGCAAGAAATGTGACAAGTCAGCAGTTGGAGCAATGCGGGGCAGTCTTGGCGGTGTGAGAGCAGGAGGAAGCGTCTCAATTTTCTTTTTGTTTTTAGACAGCGTGGTCCAGTGGTAGAACGGAGGTCTATAGCTGTAGCAATCTTGCAAGCTAGCCGCCCAGGGATTAGTGATTGAAACCCTTGTTGCACAAGAGCACCCAAGCAAGGTTTGGTTACTGTTTTCATTGATCCCTTGACTCCTTTCTGATTTAGTAACCAGTTTTAACAAGTAAGCCACAAAACCCTTCTACACCAGAAGTTGTCAACACCTCCTGGTACTTCTTGATTCACAACAATGACTTTGCATTTTTGTGATGGATGGAAGAATTATAGATGAAGGAAGAACAAGAAGACTTGCTTGACTTCACCTCAATTTCTGCATTCAACTGTTATCAAGACAAATCCACTTCCATTTCAACATGCATACAAACTGACAATTCAATAACATCATCTCATGTCAACACCAAGGCACATAAATCATTCTTTTCCATCATTCAGAAAAAGGAAATGATGCTGACAGTGTGGGAGCGTTAAGCGGTTTCTGGTGAACCCAGGCTTGTTGTAGTCTAGCTGTTATATTGTTGCTAAGTCCACACAAGCAATTGGCTCTGCAACACAGTAGCAAGATAGATACTGGCTGATGGTGAATTAAAAAAGAAAGCAGGACCGCAGAACAAAGCCAAGGAAACTAAACAATCAGAAATCTTTTTGTGTATTTGAACATGATCTGATCTTCTCAATTTAACTCCCTTTGTCATGAGCTCTTCTGCACATCTTAATTTCATTGGTAACTCCTGAGATCATGTCTCATATGTTCAGTTGCTTCAAAGCCAAAAAATCACAAAAGCAAATCTGCAAACAGAATGTCTTGTCTGCTGCTTGTTCCAACCACAACAGCAAAAACAACAACCAAATGCCAACAAACAGCCACCTCATTTGTCCAGTGAAGCAAGTTCAAATCAGTAGTGTTGATCCTCATTGCATCTTCAAGTGCGTAATGATACCTGTCAGGGTTGCACTACTCCTTTCCATTTCAATTTTATGTCGCTTACAATTCCAACCAATTCACTTCATTTCACCCAGCTGCCCTCTCAGATGAGTGTGAACAGGGACTGTTACAATTCCTGATTGTTGGAACTGTTGCACCTTTTTGGCCAGTAGCATGGTTGGTGAAGCAGCAGCATCACTTAGGATTTAAACCAAGGAATATTTTTGAGTTGGTGATTATGAGGCATTCTGATGTGGTATGCCACTGATGAGATCTTTGTTTTCATGGGATATGAATCAATGTAGTGTATGATTTTGGTGTTAGTCAAGTCAATTGCATGTTCCATGTTGTTGTATGCCAATTCTGCCCAGCAACAGCCACCATTTGAGCTACTCATCTTGATCATATATGCGTAAAAAATTGTTCAAGATTTGATGTGCTTGTTCTGTTTGACCATCATTCTGCCGGTGAGAATATAATGGCAGAGAAGAGTTGAAGGAAGAAGAAGAAACCTCGCTTGACTTTACAGCATTTTATACACACAGCCCGTATCAAAGAACCCACTTCAGTCACAACAAATCCACAAAATCATCCCAAGTCCATTCAAGGCACAATCAAGGCACAGAACTTGGCTCCCCAAGTTTCTTCAAGCAAGAAGATCAGTCAACAATCAGAAGCGGCCGGAACCCAAGGAACCAGCCATCTCTGTTATCAAGCAACGCAGGTTGAATTTAGCAGTGACAGTCCTCATCAAATTTTCAAGCTGGATTGCCACCTGTTGTTGCAGCGCGGTTGCTGCAACTGTTGCCGCGCTGTTGCCACAACTCACAGCTTCAGAGACCAAGTTAGATTTGTGTAGCGTGCTCTTTTCTTTCTCTTCAGTTGAACTATCAGATATAGTCATTCTCTCATACAATCATTGAATCCTAAGTCCAATCAGTGTCAGTCAACCAACACTTGCCAACTCTGATCAATCAATTCTTGTGCACCAAATTATTGTTTGTCAACCCAATGGTTTCATCAAGCATACAATAACTTCAGCTGCAACTTGGCCAAGTCACAGCAAGATCCAAGTTGTTGTTGTTCATTGTCAACCCATTGCCCTTGTTTGCAGTTTAGACTGACAGAGTGTAAGGAATGCAGAATCAAAGAATTAAAAGAATGACTGGGTTGCTTGCGCCTGGTCTTGTTTGGCCTTCAAGAATTTCACGCGCATTCTTGGAAGCGCGTCGGCTTTGCTTTGGACTCAGTCTTCACCGCGACTCAACAATCACGCTGCATTCTCAGCAGCAACCGGCGACCTTGACAACAAATGGCCCAATTGACTTGTTGCTCCAACTTGCTGCACCAACAAGGGCAGCAGAACAGAAGGGTCTCAAGCGTTGCATTGACTTGTTGCTCCAACGCGTTGCATTGACTTGTTGCTCCAACGCGTTGCATTGACTTGTTGCTCCAACGCGTTGCACCAACATCATGACTCAATTCCGCAGTAATCTGTTTAACAAAACCAGTTTTGTTTGTCGTAGCTCTTTCTCTTTCTCTTCAGTTGTTTAATCCAATCTCATTGCTTGTCTCAGCTCTTGACTTGCATCTTTTTGCAACACTTGGACAAAGCAGCCCGTGCACAGGTTCCTTGTGTTACGAGACACTATGTTATGTCTCTTCTTTTCTCTCTGTGTTTTGGGTTTCACGGATATCTTTCTTGCTGCGCATCCGGCTTCTTGGGACTTGTTTCTGCCGGGCTGGCCGGGTTGTCTCTTCACCACTCATAG